TTAGTAATACTATCTATAGTATACTGTAAAGTATTCTAATTCCGTTAATTGATTTGACCTAAAAAGCTAGCTCAAATTTGTGTGGGAAAACCGCTAAGAAACTAGGCCTAGGCCTAAGTTAAGTAACTTTTAGCTAGGCGTGCGCATATTAATCGAACGTCTTACATTGTCATTTGTGCACGACAAATTATATTAAGATTATGTCAAAGCCTAATTTTGTCTGCGCGGAAATCGGTCCTTATTGTCCGAAGTGCACGGATGGTTTTTTCTAGGCTAACTTTTTGCGCGGAGGATATATTCCACGCGGCCCACTTAGGCCACGGACACGCCTGCTGAGTGAGTAATTGATTGAAGCCTGGCTTACTTTAGGCCTAGTCTAGGCCCTAGCCTAGTTAGGCTTTTTTTACACACCCATTTTTTTAATTATTCATTAGGCCTAATTATACTTACTTTATTTACTGCCTTGGTTGTTTCATAAAACTAATCAAATTCTGTTTCCTGTCCTGACTTTACTCCTAAGTATTTCTGATTAGTTAGGCTAGGCCTAGGCTAGTCAATGTGTTTGTTTTGTGTAAGCTGCCATTTTTTGTACCTATGCCTATAGGCCTACCTAACTTACTAATAATTACTGTAGTTTATTTATAAACTAGGAATAGGTATATGCCTTACATATTCTGCTTAATTATCAACATCATAATTATAATTTCATTTCATTTAATATCACACTTTTGATTTTCAAAAGATTTGTTGTCACATACTAGGCCTAAAACCCTTTAACTTCGTAAAAACTCTAACTCATTCGTACACAAAACATGGCAGCCACCAGGGAAAAAATTTCTCCTTTCGAACTGAGCATGCGAATGCTAAAAGATGAATTATTTAAGAAAGATCCCGTGATGTTAGGTGTAATAGTTGCTGTAGCAGTAGTTTTGATAACCATAGGTACATTATGATTATCAGTATTGGGCTTTTTATAAGGCATATTATTGGCCTAAGAAAAAGTTTTTTTCCATATGGCCTAAACCTAGTAGTAGCCCTAGGGAGGCCCTAGGCCTAGGCCTACATATTGGGCCTAGGCCTACAGGTGTAGCTTACTGCTAGCTACCTAGCTAGCCCTCTAGTCTAACTAGCCTAGGCCTACTCCTATTTATAGAGAGGCTTAGGCTCCTAGGCCAAGTCTAAAGGATTTTAATTGAGCAAAGTGTAGGGCTTGTTGATTTTTTAAAATCTATTATCATGGCAGGATCAATCTTATCAAAGTAGGCCTATCCAGCTTGTTTGTGTGCACGGCGCATGCTATTTTGTACATTTGTTGTATATGTTATAAATACAGTAAAACGTCCATTTTACGAACATCGATTTTACGAATGATATTTGTCCCTGATGATGTCATTATCGACCAGTTATTACCGTAAAAAAAATCTGATTGTGCACGTTTTACAAAGGGATAATGTATATATTTTTTGATAATCAAGTTTGTTGTAATTATTTATTAATATACTAGTTCGATCTTCCATTTCTGGTATAATAATAACTATAATTATCACTATATTAATGTAACAAACCTAACCAGAACAACGAAATACCAACGCAAGTGTCATTGGATTAAGCGCTGTAGAAAGAACACGATAGAAAGGGCCATAAAACATACAGATGTTTGAATAAGAGTTGAAATAATATTTTGTTAAGTGGAAGAATGCCAGTGATTTAAATAATTTGGTTTTTATTGAAGGTAAATTCTGTTAGGCTCTAGCGCGGGAGCCTATCAGCACTCAATGGCAGGTAATGATAGCTAGGCTAAGTTATTGGAAACTGACACCCAATCTAGTGTTTACAAATTTTTCTATTTACGAACACCCCTTTGTACCGAGGGGTATGCTGATACAGTAATACCATTCATTAACCATAGAAAATTGTTGCTGTACTACCAAACTCCATCAACTCAAAACATTTTTTAATACTTCTCCGATTCAAAACAACGTATCGTCATTAAAGGTATGTGGCAAAGACAAGCCAAACCAGTCACTCGTCGCAAATCATGTTTCAGAGAAAATTGCCAAAACATGCTGGAATTTCAAATTTTTAAAAATCTATTTTATTGCACTAAACTAATCTTTACATATCTATACATCATTCTATGCTGTTATTTTCCCAATTTTCAATGTTAAAGCAATACTTTTTAAGGATTTGATGATAGTTTCTGCATGAGAAATATATTATTCTTTAAACAGCTGTATGTTTAAACGCTTGTAACTTCATAAGGAAATGTCCAATTTGAATGATTTTTTTACCATTTTATAGCTATTATTTTACTCTCTAACACTGTATTAATAACTCAAAATTGATTTTTGCGACGAGTGACTGGTTTAGCTTGTCTTTGCCACATATGTTGTTGTGCTCCATAACCTACATTGTTTTACCACAGAAAATTATCGGATTTAAAGTTTACTGCTCACAGTAGATATACGTGTTGCTATCTCTGAAAAATGACTCATCATCGAGACTTATCCCGAAATCGACAAAAATTCAAGTTACGTCATTTCGCCTTGCGACGTAGTGGAAACAGTTGAACTCGGCCCCAAGTCCAACATATTGACCCTAACCCATTTTTGTCCTGCACTTGTGTATTCCATTTTGTATTTAATTTGTGAACTAGGTGTAAAAACAATGTAGGGCGTATTCATTAGTGTGACTATTTTGGCCATGAACTAGTTCGGCCGCTATGTATTTGAAATGCATTTTGTATTGTATGTTTTAAGTTTAATTTGATTCATTGAAGGACTATTAAATATCTTAATACTGATAATTATAATTTTCATGATAAATATGTGTATTAACTTTAAAGTAATAAAAGAGACTGGGAAAGACTGATTAGAAAATGTATTTAATATGTTTTTTTAAAATTAATTTTGTATTTATTTTTCACTCTTCACAGATTTCTATTCTATTTTTTAAAAATATTTTATATGCTATGTAACGTTGTTGGAATAGTCTAGTCCTTACCATTTTAAGATATGTTTGTACAGTATCTGCTTTTCCGTTGTAGTTTACAGTACTATACTGCACTTCTTATTAGTTACATAGGGAATGGGGAATTCTGTCTATCTTGATATCGCAGTAATAATTATGGAAATACTGTACAATACTGGTATTTTTTTTGCTTTTTAGTTATTTACAAGTTGCTATCACGTGGAAGAGGCGGCCGAAATTCTGTGTTGCTTGTTGGACTCTCAGGAGCAGGGAAAACTCTTCTTTTCTCAAGGGTAAATGTCATCTTAGATGTTGAAAATCTATTTATAAATATAGTGTTACCCAAATTTAATAGCAGTACAGATCTCACATCGTGACCATAAGCAGATCATGACTATACCTGTATATGGGCATGCAACAGTTTTTTGTCAAAGAAAATTTTAAAATCTGGACACAGCTTTAATATTCATTTAATATTTCTTCCTCAGCTAATGTACAATAAAGATGCCGTCACATTCACATCAACGAAAGAGAATGCTGGCAGCCACATGACACTAAGCAAGAAGGTGGTTAATTTAGTTGACATACCGGGAAACATCAGACAAAGGCAGCAGTATTTAGATCAGTACATAACCCAAGCAAGGTACAGTAGGTTATACTGATTCATGAATTTTTATAATAATGTGTAGTATAATATAAAATACGGTAATTATTATAATGTTTTACATACTCTAAATATACTGCAAAAATACAATGGTCCCAAGTTAGAGAAAGTCCCTTTGATGAGATCTTAACAAATTTTAATTTTATTTTGCTGAGCACGGCGATACACACCAGCACTGACTTCTGTGAGACAATTGATAATAAAGAAGCAAAAACATGCAAATATTATGAATTTGCAGGTGATGGGTTAATTTCCAGGAGATGCTTGCTTGCTTGCCTGCGGGAGTGCGGGAGGCCGTCCTGATTTCCGAGAGACTCCCGCAACTTCGACTTGGGACCCTTGAAAATATATCTATAAATCTCAATGAATGCACTGTGTGCAGTTACTGTAAGTTTTGACCTTTGGAACTATATTACTGTAACTTCTAGATATCAAAGTCACTGTTGTGCTCTTAAAACACTGTCCACACTGCCAAATTTGTGCGGTGTGCCCATATATGGGCACATGATGATGTCGTATTACACCCAAGTATGGGCATACATGTATCACATTTAGTTTTCACATAAAATTTGATACATGTTTCTTATTCTCAATTTTCATCATCACTTTAGACGTTCTTGGCCCAATGCAGGGCAAAGGCCTCCCCAAGCTTAAACCATCTACAGTACAGTACATTCATCATTTTAGGAGCCATTAGGGCTTATAAGGGGTGGAGCTTATCCCCAGTTTCAAAAGCTTGAAGCAGATGAGAGTGTGACTCCTGGACAGGAGGCTGTCCATTGCAGGTTTACCCATTGATATAGCAGTGTAGACTGAAGCATTGTAAATTAAATATTACCTGGCTGCTCAATTCCTGATCCCCTCCGGTCCTGGTCTGTCTTGCTCTTGGGACCAATGCCACACCGGCTTTCGGACTCATATAGTGCCAAATTGTTGGTTTTCAGAATTAGAATTTTTATTTTTATTTATATTTTTATATATTTAATGTAATCTTTTATGTATTTTGTAAATATTCATTCTTAATTTGTAAATGCATATTTTAATGTTTTTGTGTAATTTCATTATTTTTAATTACGGCCTTTATATTTTTGTAAATTCAATAATTTTAGCCTTTGGCTACCTTTTGTATTATTTGTATACCTGAATAAAATAAAATAAATAAACGCTTCACTCAAGTACACAATTCTTTCTTTATCCATCAATTCTATATAAAAAGCAAACAAAAACAATAACGGATGCCATGATTAAATAATAGTAATAATAATGCAGTAATACAAATATTTAAATAAATAAATATAATGAATAGGACCTCCAAGAAGCTTGTATATAGTTGGCCGATCAGACTAATGTTTTTATTATAATAACTCTTAGAAACAAGAGCGACCACTCACCAGTCCGCGCGTTCCTCCACGCTTAAATACGGTACAGACGCAAGTTATTATATTGGGTTTTTTGGAAAAGCTAATAAGAAAGAAATATTTAAATTATTAGAATGTTTATTTGTACAAAACAAATTATTATTTAGAATGTTCATTTCTACAAAATTAAAATATCGTAAAATTGAAAAAAATAAAAATAAAAGAATTGAATACCAAGACGTGATTCAAACGCACAACTTTAAGTTCTTTACAACACATCCTTAACTTACTGTGCAGGTGCAGTCCATGTGGCGTGCCCTATTAGCAGAATTGCAGTAATCTACATTTCTTGCTGAAACCCTTGTTTTGTTTTGTAGGTGTAGGGGGAGAACCCTAGGGTCCAACTTAAAAAAGGGCGATGAAGTTTTGTTGGAAATGACCTCTAGTTTATGTGTACAAAATTTCCTGCACACCCGTTCAAATCTGGCAAAGCTGGACGCTTTTGAAGTTCTGGTAACAAGAGCAAGCACAAAAACAGCAGTGAGGCTCTGGGGTCAGCGTCTTTTGCGGACCCAATAAAAGCTAACATTGAGGTCGAAACCAAACTGTTCGTACTGCGTCAAACCGCTTCTATTCATTTGATAATAAGGGTGCCGTACTATTATCGCTGGTATTCAATAAAAAAAAAAAACAAACAAGAAAAAACCAGTGTTATTTTCTTTATCATCTTAGGGGGTTAGTCTTTGTGATTGACAGTGCAGCTTTTCAGAAGGAGGTAAAAGAAGTTGCTGAATATCTGTACAATATCTTGAGCAATGCAACATTTTATAAGATGTCCCCTAAGTTGCTGATTATGTGCAACAAACAGGACATCACCTTGTCAAAATCAGCACAAGTTATCAAGACACAGCTCGAAAAGGAAATGTAAGTTGTATCAGATTTTTAATAAGATCATTAAAAACAATTAAAAATCCATTTCAAACAAAATTACCAAGTTGTGTGTAATTAAGTATTATTATTATTTTCAAGTACAATGTTTTATGTTTACACTGGTAAAATCACAACCAAAATCAGAATCACTTTCACTTTTTGTTTACATGGAATGCAACACTTTCTACTTGGCTCTATGATTTTTTTTTGAAAAAGTGCAGTATAAATAATTATATTTATAATGTTGGTTTTTATATATAACAAGATGAATGTAGTTTTAATATAAATCATTTGGAAAATGCACAGTATATAGTTATAGATAGAATGATTATGAATTTTAAATTTACATAATTGTTTTTTAGATCATTTAATTAATTAGGAATTAATAAGGTAACTAGTTTTTAATAAATACATGACAGATGGTATTTTTGATATGAATCTCTTTGAAAAACCGCAGTATTAATGGTTATAGATAGATAGAAATATTATTATGATTATAAATTATATAATTGTTTAATTAGATCATCATTAAAAAAAATGGGGATTAATACAGTCACTGGTTTTCATATATAACTCTATGGCAGAATTAATTTTAAATATAAAAATAGCCAAATTCATAATGCTAGCATACTCCAGGCAGCCGTATTAATGAACATTGTACTGTTTGTGACTGGTTGAAGTACTTTTAGATATGATTATTCATGCATGCAGTGTGTTAGGAGGTGTTATTTAATATTTCACAAAAGCTTATCAAAAAAAGAATCAATAATAATAAAGATGCCTGCATTACACTTGATAATTATTAAAAGAGCTTGTTTCTTTTTGAGAATCCAGTTGACATTTTAATTGAGTTGCTTCAATCACCATCAGAACTAAACATTTTCCTAATGTCGATTGACAGTGGTTGATTCAATGGGGCCCAGCCTCCCCTTCCCAAATTCTTTAAAATTATAAAAAATAGAGAAAAAAAATGAAGAAAATTATATAAGTGCCATTCATTTCTAGCCATCTAGGGGTGCCATAATCTTATCTGTTCTTACCTCAACCGCAACCATGGAGGGGGCTGAGGTGGTGTAGATCCTCCATCTGTGAAAGTCCCTCCCTGGGCCTCTCTATTTTGAATTCCTGGATCCGCCATTGATCGAAAAACATCCAGACTCGCTGAAGCAAGCATTCAGGATTATTATTTTCGCTTCACCATTCAAACCTTCATACAATATCAAATGAATCTCCATTCCATTTCATACTGATTAGCGTATTTTAACTTCACATTAAAGTATTGTGATAATATGTTTATTATGACTATTGATAATATGTTCAGAAATATTATATATTTTAAAAAAAGTATATTATTGAAACGAAGTTTAACATAATATTAATTTTTTTATTGATGACATTTAATATTTAATGTGATAATGACTTATAATGAAAAAAAATACTGTGCATGTAAATGATTTGAGTATGTGATATGGTTTTTTTTTTTTTTAAATTTTAAATAAAGGTGTGCTACCCACACAAAAGAGAGAAAAAAAAAAGTATTGTGACATTATGACTTCCTCCAACCATACTCCAACCTTGGTTGTGGTTGAGATATTTTGTTGATATTGCTTTAACCTTGATTCAAAGTGAACACTGTATTAACTCTTCAGTTTTATTTTTTGATTTAACAGATTAATTCTAGATTCCCTTCTGTTGCTTTTAAAAGGAAAGTGTACAATAGAAAGTTCTAGTTAAAATATGTAATAATAATACAAGCATTTATATTCCACTGTAGATCCAACAAACGTTTGCTCATAAGCACATTACAATTACATAAAATCATCAATTAAAATTGATACAAATAATACAAATAAGTAGAAATAATTATTACCCTATTGGCAAGGTTTTCACAACTTCTCGAAGTTCAGTACTAGTGAAAACGGGTGTTGCAAAGAGGTTAAACAATTATTTATACTCGCGCTTCATTCTTATGTGAATTTAACTAATATTTTTAATCTGTATAGTTTTTCTTGTACATGGTTTTATGATTTTTTTTTAATTGTTCATTCATACAAGAATATCAAAATGTTATTAATATTAAATTTATTTTTTAATTATTTTTTCCCACATATTGGGGTTTCATTTTAGAATTGTTACTAGGTTTTTAAATACTCAAAAATCAGCATTCAATTGTTCAAAATTTGTTCGTCAAATGCCCTTATTTGTCAGGCTCATGCCCTGTTAAATCACACCAAACGTTTTGGTGATCCAATTCAACACATCAAGTCCAAATCTATGACCTTAATTGTCTTTCAAAACTAGTTTGTATAAGCATGGTACAAGCATTTGTACAAGTTTCAGAAAGTTTTTTCTCTGGAGCATGGCTTTTTAATTGATACCAACATGACTGACAAAAAGTGGTTTAATATTCAGTGGTGCATTCAGGAATTTGAAATATAGAAGCCAAGAGAGGGACTTATATAATTTATGATTATGGCACGTCTAGATGACCGGAAATGGCACCCTCAGACTTAAAATTTGAATATAACTTTCTTTAGTCTTTTAGTGGGGTGGGGGTGAGGGCAGTCTGGCTGAGCTGGCTTGGGCTGCCGTGAATCTGCCACTGATATTATAAGGGATTTTCTTTCATTCATAGAATATTATTGTGATTGGATGCAGTTGTTTGTAGATGATAATATTTTCTTTATTTAAATTCAATTTTTAGATATAATTATTTATACGGACTGAAGGTGGGCAGCGTTTTTAAATACGAGTATTATATTTTACAGGAACACTGTCCGCAAGACTAAAGCAGCGGCTCTTGGCAGTACTGATGATTCTAGCTCTAGTTCCGAGATCTTCCTTGGCAAGAAAGACAAACCATTTGAATTTTCCCATCTGTCCAAATTTAAGGTTGAATTTGTGGAGTGCAGCACCAAACCAGAGGCTGATGAGGATGAACCAGAAATTGGGCCACTTCAGGAGTGGCTTGCTAGCAGACTCTGAAAAGAAAAGAAAAATACCATAAAAACTAATTATTTAAAGGACCGTAAAAGATTATCTAAATTTTTGTTTTTGATTTATGCAATATTTTGTTACAATAATATATTGCACTTTAATGACGGAATAAATGCTACATGAAGGAATTTTATTTTGTTTTGTGCACTTGGTCACCAAGGCTACTAGGAGGTATAATGACAATATGATTTTTTTGAGTCGGGAGCTGGTATTAAATGTGCTACTCTACTTAACTTTATCTAAATCCAGCCGTTAACGCTAAGCTTACAGTGTGTTGCCCTTTGTAACTACTTAATGCAGCTTAACTGACGTTCGACAACTGGCTGACAAATATGAGTGACCAAATGCAAGTCGTACGATTTGAGGCGAAAGACTCACTCTAATTGATTAAAAACTTAAAAATCTTGGAGCATTTTATATGGGGCGGGATTTTATATGTGGGATAGCGGATGTGAAGGTTAAAATGCGATTAGGGTATGGTGATGAAGTGAGGTGGAATTTCTGACAAAATAAGGTGCTATGATGTTATTTTTAACTACTTGAGTGAAAATGGTTTGCTCAATGAACTTCCAGTTGGGGGGTGGGGTGGAGGTGTGGCTGGGGGTGCAAGCTTTTTTTAGGTGGTGGAATAAATAGCCACTGTACCCATTATCTATTTTCTGCAAACGCAAGCAACCATCAAGCAGTTAAAATTGGTCATGTGATGGAGTCTATCAATTGGGCATATTCTGTGCGCCAACTTATTACAGTGCACCCTCAAATTTGAGACCCCTTTATTCAGAGACCCCTCTAATTCGAGACCACTTTTTCAAAAAACCAAATAACAGTCTATTAACACTAAGCTAACCCTGTATGTGGAAACTGAACCCCGAGAGTGCCCCAAATGTTTAGGTCCCAAAGGTGGTCTCGAATTGGGGTGGGGGGGGGGTGGGGAAACAGTATCCAATTACAACTAGGTAATTTACAGTCAGAAGTGACATAAGTGCTTTGTGCAGGGACTGCTCCCTGCTCAGGGTAACTAGCTCTATATGAGCGCTACAAGGAAGTAGTTAAATTGAGGTGAGGTGCTAAGCCAAATTGCAAGGCCGATATAGCTTAGCTTTAAACTCTTCTTTTAGAATCACAGTATATCTGGTGTTTTCGATCTTGGATTAAAATCCCACAGTCGTGGATTTAAAATGTTTGTGTGCCTACTATGATGTTTTTCTCAGGATATTGTGTGCTATTGTAATTGAACTATGAAATTTAAAAGAGAAATGAAGTTCTCGGTGATATCAAGTTTTTTAACTACCTAACCTATTTCTTTTGGGATTCAAATCCAGGAATATTCTCAATACCATACAATATGGTTGCTCTATCTCCAACTCGCTTTCGACCAATGGAATGAAAGTGAATAATAATAATATTGGTATGGGGCCGTTATGCAAAGAAATGTAATCGGTATTGCGTTAGTGACACACACAATTTATTTTGGTGGTGTTCAATGTGAAGAAGAAAAGGTTTAAGACATTATTACAGTACTTTAAATTTGCAACTGTATGATGATAGACTTGACCTAGACCATTGAATTTGTCTAGGTCTAGCCTATCAGTTGCAGGCTAGGGTGAATTGCACAAAATCTATTATTGTCCTCCGAGCAAGACTTTTTTTTGGTGCCGTTTCAAAAGTACATATCCAACAACTACTGTACGAATATCAATCCATTGCTTTGTTGTTTTTAACTGTATGATTCTTTTTATTAGTAATAAAACAGAGACGATAAAATCATGACAGTTTGTTGACGTATTGAGAAACGTAAGTATTACAGTATATTTTCAAATGCAGCAGTGTTTAATGCTGTCAAAAATACTGAATGAAAAATAATCAGGCGAACATTTTATGAACAGAAAAAGACCGACTTAAATTTGGAAACAGACATTTCAGAAAAACCGGTTATGTCATAAGTGCGCTTTTAAAGTCAGACTCCGGAGGAAAACAAATTTTTGATATGTTGTAGAACTGATTTTTCTAAGACAGGAAAAAGTTGTTTGACGAAAAACTGGGGAACGGTGAACGAGCTACAGATTTTTGAATATTTAAAAACTGGGGGAAAAAGGGGCGTAACCGCCCACTTTTACCCCTTTTCCCAGTTTTTAAATATTCAAAAATCTGTATCTCATTCACCATTGCTCAGTTTTTCGTCAAACAACATTTTTCTGTCTTAGAAAAATCAGTTCTACAACATATCAAAATTTTTTTTTTACTCCGGAGTCTGACTTTAAATATCAGGGTTACTATTTAAAATGTAAATTACCCTTATGTTAGAACTGCCAACTGTTGGCATTTAAATGAGACGAATTAATGGCAAGAAAATATGTAAATTGAACTAAAAATAATATGGAAATATATACCGTATGTTTTTTATTGAGAATTTCTCCAAACATGCTTTTTAATTGACGAAGTTTGTATGCAGAACCTGCCGTGTCAAAAAAGAAAAAGAAAAAAAAAAGGTGTCGTTGATTAATTGATTTATTGAAACATATTTTAAAGCAGAGGCTCAAACGAAACAAAGTACAACAGGTACCCAATGAAAACAGTTCCCCCTCCAATTCGAGACCCCTCTAATTCTAGACCACTTTTTCACAGAGAAGCAAATACCATTTTCCTATCTTATCACTCAAAGCCCAACCCTCTGAGAGTCTAATTAGTATAGACGGAACTTAGAGACCATCTTATATTTTGAGGTTCAAAAGGTGGTGTCGATTGTAGGGCGAAGTGTATATACTTTGAAATAGTACAAACTTTAAGGCCACAGAAATTGCATAAACAGAGTATGCCCAAAGAAAATGTAAGTAATATGGAGCTCGGGCTCCGCTGTTAAGTTCGTTATGTAAACAAGCAAGACCTTGACAATCGTCAACAAGTAAATCTGCATCCAAAGAAAACTTTAGTCTTCAGTATGAGGCGTCAAGTGTAAATATATTATTTGAACCCAAATTATTTATATAATTCATTATTTAACATATAATTGATAGATCACTCATTATTTAACAATAATTAATGCATTTTACATCTTAGAATTATATGCAAATAATTGCATGAAAGGTTATATATCTATGGTTTCTTGCTTCTAACACTTGCTTTATTTCTCAATTTTTCTAAAGTGTTTCAGTATGAGATTTCAATTACCATTTTTATTCCCAATGATATCGGTACCAAATAATACTATATTAGTGCATGGAGTTATAACTCAAAATAATTATAACTCCGTAGTCTATGCACGTCTACAAATAGGCCTAAGTTGATATACTACTGTAAATATTTACTCGACTTTATTGGCTTCGAGTTCAGAAACTAATAGTGTGTTTATATTATGGCTCTGTTTCGGCTTATCTTGAAAAAATGTTATCGCTATAAATTCCATCACGTGCGCAAGCCTCATAGGCGAATTCAAGCGGGCGGGGAAAGCCGGTCCACCCCCCCCCCCCCTTTAATTTCTTTAAAATTAAAAATATGGAGTGGAAAATTAAAATTATATTAAAACTTAGGTTTGAGGGTGCCATTTCCGGCCGTCTGGAGGTAACGTAGCCACAACATTTCGTACCTTAGCCCCAACCATTGAGGGACTATTGTGGTTGCCCCTCCGTCTATAAATCTGACCCCCTTCCCCTCTATTTGGAATTCCGGAACCCCCACTGTAACTCGTCTCGATGGTCTCCTAGAAAGAACGCTCTATATATTTTAGGCCTATTATTATCAAATATAACTAAACAAACTTAGCTCGATCAGAGAGACTGTGATTTAATGCTAAAAGAAAAATATGTGAAGCCCTATTTAAATTGCCCATGTAGTCATATTTAAAGATTTCTATTAGTTTCCAAAAGACGTGGAATTTGGATATTTAAAGTGGATGACAATGTCAACCGAGCCCCATGGAAGAACCCGGGTTGTCCTTTCAAAAGGTCCAATATAAAACAGCAGTAAAATTGACATCAATGTTCACCAAACTTTTAGAAGAAATAGCTAAGACAACGAACACATTTATAG